AAGCCCTGCACAGAGCCATTTGCCAGATAGCCTCAGGCAAAGGCTAGATTAGCACCTCCCTAGAGGACAGAAGTTTTCCCACTGCAGACACAGCTGATTCTCACAGCCAGTTGGCCTGAAGGTCAAATCCCCCTAGTATTAACTACAACAATCAAGGCTTAACTACAACAAGACTGCGCACAAAGACCACTAGGGGGTGCACCAAGAAAGCATAAAAAATGCGGAGACAAAGAAACAGGACAAAACTGTCAATGGAGGATATAGAGTTCAGAACCACACTTTTAAGGTCTCTCAAGAACTGTCTAGAAGCCGCCGATAAAGTTATTGAGATTCTCAAGAAATCTAATGAGACCCTCGATGTTGTGATAAAGAACCAACTAGAAATTAAGCATACACGGACTGAAATAACGAATATTATACAGACTCCCAACAGCAGACCAGAGGAGCACAAGAATCAAGGCAAAGATTTGAAATGCGAAGAAGCAAAAAACACCCAACCAGAAAAGCAAAATGAAAAAAGAATCCGAAAATACGAAGATAGTGTAAGGAGCCTCCGGGACAGCTTCAAGCGTACCAACATCAGAATTATAGGGGTGCCAGAAGATGAGAGAGAGCAAGATATTGAAAACCTATTTCAAGAAATAATGACAGAAAACTTCCCCTACCTGGGGAAAGAAATAGACTTACAAGTCCAGGAAGCGCAGAGAACCCCAAACAAAAGGAATCCAAAGAGGACCACACCAAGACACATCATCATTAAAATGCCAAGAGCAAAAGACAAAGAGAGAATCTTAAAAGCAGCAAGAGAAAGAAACTTAGTTACCTACAAGGGAGTACCCATACGACTGTCAGCTGATTTCTCAACAGAAACTTTGCAGGCCAGAAGGGAGTGGCAAGAAATATTCAAAGTGATGAATGCCAAGAACCTACAACCAAGATTACTTTATCCAGCAAAGCTATCATTCAGAATTGAAGGTCAGATAAAGAGCTTCACAGATAAGGAAAAGCTAAAGGAGTTCATCACCACCAAACCAGTATTATATGAAATGCTGAAAGGTATCCTTTAAGAAGAGGAAGAAGAAGAAAAAGGTAAAGATACTAATTATGAACAACAAACATGCATCTATCAACAAGTGAATCTAAGAATCAAGTGAATAAATAATCTGATGAACAGAATGAACTGGTGATTATAATAGAATCAGGGACATAGAAAGGGAATGGACTTGGTGGGGAAAGGGGTGTGGGAGATATGGGAAGAGACTGGACAAAAATTGTACACCTAGGGATGAGGACAGTGGGGTGGTAAGGGCAGAGGGTGGGGTGGGAACTGGGTGGAGGGGAGCTATGGGGGGAAAAAAAGAGGAATAAATGTAATAATGTGAACAATAAAGATTTACTAAAAAATAAAAAAATAATAAAAAAAAATTAAAAATGGAACTGCCTTATGACCCAGCAATTCCACTTCTGGGAATATATATGAAGAAACCTGAAGCACTAATTCAAAATAAGTGCACCCTATGTTCATTGCAGTATTATTTACAATAGTCAAGATGTGGAAACAGCCCAAGAGTCCATACAAAAAGCTGTGGTACAGTTACACAATGGAATACTATGTAGCTATAAAAAACAAGGAAATCTTACCTTTGGGACAGCATGGATGGACCTGGAGAGTATTATGCTAAGTGAAATAAGCTAGTCAGAGAAAGACAAGTAACATATGGTTTCACTCATAAGTGGAATCTAAAGAACAAAATAAAGTAACAAAATGGAAACAGGCACATAGATACAGAGAACAGACTGACAGTTGTCAGAGGGAAGGAGGGATTGTGGGGCTGGGTGAAAAAGGTGAAGGAATTTAGAAAAAAAAAACACACACACAAAACCCACAACAATTAAAAAATTATAATAATAAAAATATAATCAGTTGTTTTTTCTTTGACATGAACTACTTTTCTAGATATAGGGAGAATTATCCAAACTCCAGGCAAAAGGGCTTGCAACCAAGGTAACCAATATCATGGCAAAAGGATAATAATGTAAAATGTAAATTTAAGACATGATTATATATGACACTAGAGGCCTAGTGCATGAAATTAGTGCATGGGGGTTTGGGGGTCCCTCAGTCCAGCCTGCACCCTCTCGCAATCCGGGCCCCCTTGGGGGATGTCTGACTGCCGGTTTAGGCCCGAATCCACAGGGATCCTGCAGGGATCGGGCCTAAACTGGCAGTCAGACATCCCTCTCCCAATCCAGGACTGCTGGCTCCTAACCGCTCGCCTGCCTGCCTGATCACCCCTAACTACCTCTGCCTCGGTCCCCACCGCTGTGGCTTCATCCAGAAGGTCATCCGGAAGGACATCCAGAAGGTCGTTCAGCTGCCCAGTCTAATTAGCATATTACATTTTTATTATTATAGATAACCCAAACTATGTTTTCCCCATTCATTGGTTTTGGCTAATAATTCTCACTGGTCTTTAATAAGAGTTATAACATTGCTAAAATAGCCTTGACATTGAGTATTACTTTTAAAAAATAGACTGGTAGAGCTCTTTGAAGAACCATGATTCTCCTCAAAAGGATCCTGGGTGCAAAGGAGATACTCTTTTCTACTGAGGAAGTGACTAGTCATTGTCATTTCTCTAGAAACCACTTCAATTGGTTGTATGTTTTTAAAACACCCACACATAAAAATCCAACACCCAATAAAAACGCCACTTTAAGTCCCGAGAGCACAGTGGCTTTTAGAAGCTCAAATAGGATTAGCCACCGCCTCTTATCTTTCACCCAAGCTCATCCTCTTTCACACATTTTATAGAACACAAATCATGACAATTAAAAAAAGGCAATAATGAGAACGTGCTATTTTGACCAGAAACCAGAAGGCCTGTTCATGTAGAAGTAATTATGGGAGGAACAGCCTCAAAAATCAATCTGGCTGCTGCTGCTGCTCAGGCAAAAATGAACTTGGCCCGATTGCTGGCATCCACAGGCAGCATCTCTACGGATGTGTTGCACGACTAAGCACCAGACAGGACAGAAAAAGCAACATAAGCTCTTTGGAAATTAACACAACTTAGTTGATGACACACTTTTTCTTTCCCTTTCCTCCATGCCCATATGTTTAAAGCTGGAGAAATAAAAGATAACGGAAATGAGATGAAGGCACCGTTTTAACTCTTTATGTCAAGGGAGAACACAGATCTGGCTTTGGGTTTCATGACACTGAGAAAAACAAAATCTCCTCAAATGTGGCCAGCACTGTCCTTCCAGGAACCGTCGATGATTTTGACACAGCGGCCAACATCACCTTCCTGGTGTCACCAATTGAAAAACAGGTCTGCCCCTGGCAGTGTTACTAAGCCATGGCCTCTGCTATGCTGAGCTTCTTCCTCCCCAGTCTCCTCTGCCCCCCACACTAGTGTTCAATGGGAAGAAAAGTCACTACTAAAAAGAAACAGAATAGCCCTCGCCTGTTTGGCTCAGTGGACTGAAGAGTCCTAAGTTTGACTCTCGTCAAGGGCACATACTTCGATTGCATGCTCAATTCCCCAGCCCCAGTCAGGGCGTGTAGAGGAGACAACCAATCAATGTGTCTCTCTCACATTGTGGTTTCCCTCTCTCTGTCTCTCCCCCTTCCTTCCATTTTCTCTACACATCAATGGAAAAATATCCCCGGGTGAGGATTAACAAAACACAACAACAAAAACAGAACAATAGAGCTGAACTTTTAGTAATGGAAAGTCCTTAACGTCTTTAAAAACTGTGGAGGTGTTCTGAAGGAAAAACACATCACTTCTTTGAAAAATAGCCCTCCTCTGGGTCTGACTGAGAATTGATATTATAGAGTTTACACATCAGTGGTTGTAGCAAAACCACAAAACTTAGAAAGCAGATTCAAGTACACTCTTCTCCCAAATAAGCCAGGGGTCATCAGCGTCGTCTCTGTGTTTAGGGCAGGGACTGAACTATCCAGGGTTATGAAATAATTCAAAGACCGGCTGTAGCACCATTTGTAGTAAATAAAGGGGTCGGAAAGAAAAATTTAAAAAAGCCCAGGGTCAGGGTAGTCCATGGATGGGCTTTTTTTGGGGGGGGGGGGGGGTTTAGGGGGAGAGGGTTGGAGGATTCTGTGCAACCCCTTAAATAGTATATATCCATATATTCATTTTTCTGGAGAGTGTCTATAGCTTCCAGAAGATTCTCAAAGAGATCCTGACACTCCCTACTCTCACCCCCACACACGTGTTGAGTGAGAGGGAGCCCTCACCATGCAGCATGATTCCTTGTAACTACATAAGACAGAAGGTGTTTTCCCCTCCAGAAAAAAACAAAACACTTTTAATATAATTGGTGGGCTTATTCACGCTCAAACAGTGGTGCAGTAAATGTACATAATAAATCTCTATAATGATTTTTAATTGTAAAATTATTCTCCAGATGCCATCAATATATGTGGTGGTTACAGAAGGGATTTCGCACAGAAAGCATTAAGGAACACTTTACTGCTTTGTTCACCTGGTATAGAACCAACAAGCTACTCTCAATAAATATTAATTAATAAGGATTAACTACACAATTTTGTTTATTCTCCGGAAATTTATAAGAGCTTCTATGGGAGGTGATTTGAGACCTAGATAGCTTTAAAACAACAACAAAACTAGAAATCTGAGGGAATGCTTAGCTGTCAGCCAGGCCTGAGGTCAATGTTGACTTCGGGGGGTCAAAGCTGGACTTTGAGGCCTAATCCCATCATGAGAGGCCCGAACACGAAAGGGACATGTAGAAATGAAGAGACAGGACAGTGGCACAGTTCACAAACCCAACCCCAGGCCTGAGACACAACCCATCCTGTAAATAGTCCTCACAAAGAAGATGGGAGAGCTGAATGTCTCCCATGTCGGCTTTGCTTCTCCCTGAATGACCGTTGACACTCACCCCCAAGCCCTGTACCATGAACAGGCCTTTTTGCTTAGAAAGGAGAGACCAAGAGAGCCACTTACCAGATGCAGGTGGCTGCTCACTGGAGGCGCTTCCAGACCCAGGGCCTCCCCTGCTGGAGCTGGGAGGCCGCGCATCAGCCTCATCCCAGGGCTGGCCTCCGCCCTCCGCCTCTTCAGCTGCTTCTTCAGGCGGAAGGCCCATGCCGTAGGCGCATTGGGGCAAGGGTCCACTTTTTGGGAAACCCAGAAAGGGCTCCCGGTCCTCCCCAGAAGGGTTCCCGCAGCCTGCGCAGCCATCTGCCGAGGTGGAGGCCGCCCAGTGGGGACAGTTGCCGCCCTCCACTTCTTTCTGCAAGTACTTTTCGGAGGACATGGGAATCCAATCGGTCCTGCATGGGGGCTCGGCCAAATTGCAGCTTTTGGAATCGGGCAGGGTCTCTGTTCCGGTGAAGGCCTGGCTTAAACTGTCATCCTCCCCCACCTCCAGGGGCTCCGGGAAAGGGGGTATGGATCTGCTTCCCGGCCCAGTGAGGCCCAGTAAGGAGGCTGGTGTCTGGGGAGGCCGGTCCACATATTCGTCTTCCATGGGAATCTGCTTGAAGGAGTCGCCCTCCATCTCGCTGACCAAGGTGAGCATCCTGGTGTCTTCTGCCTGGGCGCAGCCTGCACACGCGCCCCCGCAGACCCCGGCTCCTTCCGGCCAGCACAGGTCTTCCGAAAACACCTTCTCTTCCAGGGTCAGCAGTAGGACCCCGTCGCAAAGTTCCCGCTGGCTCGAGGCTTCCATGGGAGTGCGGCTAAAATTGCTTCCTGAGGGTTCCTGCTGAGTGACATTCGGGAGGCAGAAGGATTGATACTCAGCTATTAGAACAGGGTTCTGCTAAGCACTGCCGAAAATGGGGTTTATTTCCACCATAACAAGAACAGGTGGAACACTCACTGTGTAGCAACTCGTGTCATTTAAAATCAAAGAGTGGGGAAGAGCCCTAACATAGAATGCAACCAGCAACAAGTGCAGTCTAACTGCATTTCACATGAATAGCATGTTCACGTTGAAACAAGGGCAGGAGTCAACCCAAATAACTCCACAACTCGGAATTTTGACTACAGACTTTCAATCTAAATTAAAACACACACACATACACACACACACCCCTAAGGAAATACTGAACTCAAAGTTAGTCGCTTCGTTTTGAAAGTACTTTCTATGTACCCTGGAATTGAGAATAATAGAGGCAGGTTTTCTGCTGTTGGAGAAAACATGATTCAATGGAACAAGGAAAGATCAGAAAGTGCTGCTGGGACAGGAAGTGGAGAAATCAGTATGAGCTCGTCGTGGTTTAAAATTTATACATTTTTATACCTAAGAAGATAGATCTAGAGGACATAGTGAGATAACTAATGAAATTTTAATATTAAATGCGGGTTTGATAATAGTATTGTACCACTATTGAAATTCTTGATTTTGATAAATGAACTCTGGTTATATAAAAGAATGTCCTTGTTCTTAAGAAATTCACAATGATGTATTTAAGGATACTGGAGCACAATTCACTCTAAAATGGTTCAAGAAAAAAATATATACAGATACACACATAGAGAGCAGAGCCCGGCCAGTATGGCTCAGTGGTTGAGTGTTGACCTATGAATCAGGAGGTCACAGTTTAATTCTCGGTCAGGGAATATGCCCTAGTTGCAGGCTCAGTCCCCAACGTGGAGCATGCAGGAGGCAGCCAATCAATGATTCTCTCTCATCATTGATGTTTCTAGCTCTCTCTCCTTCTCCCTTCCTCTCTGAAATCAATAAAATAAATTTTTTTTAAAAGAGAGCACAAATAATATAGCAATATGTCTAGACAACTGGTAGACCTGAGAATAGGGTATGTGAAAGTTCTTTGTACTATTCTCACTGCTTCTCTATAATTTTGAAATGATATCAAAATTAATAGTTATCAAAATAACTAACTACAAAGTAAAAGAATATGGAAGCTCTTTCCTCTGGAATCTGTAATAGGCAGTTATGATTGGCACTAAAAAGAATATAATTAATATCTGTACACAGAGGTGGCAGAAATGGAATGCAATACAAAGAAAGCAGCATTTAGGAAGAGTACTGACCTGGGCTTTGGGTTATTCTGTGGGGACCAGCTCTGGGATTTGGGGTCCCATCCCCTCAAGAAAGTTCCTCACAACGGGGCTCAATATTTGACTAAGAACTATCTCAGCCTAACTGTTAAAAGTACTACAAGGAGCATTTAAGACTTTTACATTTACCTTATTTCCACTTAGGCGGCCGCATGTCTCATTGACCCAGCGCCACAAATTAGCTAGAAAAACAAAGCAAAGATAAGATCTTCATAGTACTTCCTATTTCTAATTCAATATCACTGACCACTATGTCAGTTCAGTATTATCTTTATACATAACCCTCTGTAAGTTTTTCAGAGAGGCTTCTTGAGAGTGAAAACATTCAAAAGCAAATCAACCTGTTTAAACACTATAAAGACATCTTACTCATCCTGCTCCATCAAAAACAAAACTTTCTGATCCATGCAAAGCCAAATATGATATACTAATGTTCCACTGACTACCTTGGGACACATTTGAGGGTATCGGAACTGCTGATAGGAAGATAGTCACTCTAAGACCTTTAGCAATTAATCTTTGACTACAAGGGCCTAGGGTGGGCATTGTAGGGGAAAGGAGACAACGTGGTGGAGACTTGACTTTCGAGTAAACCAGCTCAAATATATGTACAATAAAAGTCAGGTGCATGCTGGAAGGCTGCGGCAGACCCCACTGAGTTTCAGCAGGCCCCAAATCTTTTTCCACTATACTCTGTTGCTTCTCAGAAAAAAAGAATATGTTCTGTGGTATATACAAATTATATCCCCATCAACTTTTTAAAATAGACATGATAACATTTTAAAAGTCAAATCCATGAATTTTTTAAAAAACTATGAAATTATATCATACAAAGATAAAATTTTATTCCACCTCCACTGAATTCTAATGTTGAATTCATGGGTTGTCAATTCTCCATAAGAAGATAATCAAGTAATAATCATAGCTAATGGCACCTATGATGTGGCCTTGCCCAGTTTACTTAACTTCTCTGAGCCTCAGTTTCCTCACCATGAAACCAGGGAAATAACAGTGCCTACTTCATAGTGCTGTTGGGGAGATTTAGTTAGTACATGTACTAGTAAAATGCATACAGCAGTGTATGCATTTATTGAATAAATATTCAATACATGTCAGTTATTGCTATCATCATCATTATTTCATTATTATAAAATTACATAAAAATAAAAGTACTCCAAATAAAAGGAAAATTGTAGCTCTTTCCTTGTAGAGATTAGTACTGGACAATTACAAATGGTGCCAAAATATTTGTGCACAGAGAAAATAATCATAACCACTATGACAATCTTTCTCCTAGAGTATTTGTATTTACTTCTACATAAATAAGCACAATGGATTTTATTTGTTTTGCCAGAGAACAATGAATTGGGCATAAAGGGTGTTTGATCTTAGTTTAAGCACAACCACTTCAAGGCACTTATTTTTAGCAGATCACTGGATGTAGTCAACAGGCAACATACACATCTTCCAAAGCATATACCTTGAAATGTATCTATTTTTAAGATTCATTTTCAAAATCCCCCATAGACACCATACCTGTTAGTGCTTTCCCTTGTTTCCGGTAGTAAACAGCAGAGAAGACAACAGCGACTAATGCCACAGATACGAAGAGAAGCAGGATGATCAAACTGGGCAAGAAAATCTGGGGCTCTGTATCATAAAAAGGTTTAAAAATGGTATTAAAGGTGATTTCATTTTTGTCTCTAAGCTCAAAAACACAACCCTTTACATCAAGCCCCAGAATCAAGGCTGCCGGTCTGGAATAAGAGAAGTGTGAAGGCCCCGACCCTGACTGCAGGTTTGTCACAGAGCATTTATGTTCCAAAGGGTGGAGTCACCAATGCGGCCCAGTCCCACTATCCAGCATCACTCCAGCGAGGCCAGTCCAGGACCATCTTGAAATGTTTCTACTTAGAATAACTCAAATCCTGTTTACCATGCCATCCAGCTCCATCTTTGCTCACCTATGGACACTTCAGTCTCCCCAGGGGACTGGTCTCTGAGGCAAAAGGAAGCCCCTTATCATACCTCTTTTTAAATAACCACAGGCACCAGGGTTGCCGTTTTTATTCCTTTGGTTATTTTTCGTATGATCTTCAAAAAAATGGTCTGTTAAAAATGCTGCTCTGACTGTGTAGCTCCATATCCAGAACCTTAACACTGGCATCTTCAATCACCATCTTCTGTCTCCCCAAATGTCAAATCTAAACCCTCAATTTTCTTAGTCAAAGTTCATTAACCCTGTTCTTCCGTGGCTCAGGTCCTCTTGCTTCATTAGAAAGGTCTTCTTTACACGTATGCCATCCCATGTGCTGTGATATCTGGACCCACCTCCAACTGTCTCACTCACCTGCAAAACCAGCAGCCACCATTAACTGTCACTTTCTATCACTCTTTGACACCATACTCAAGATTAATTTGATCTACAAATGATAGCTATAGTCTAACAAGTTGCTAACTCTGGTTGGTGACCAAAATCTCCCATAGACACTCGTACTGTGACCACCACCAGCCTACTATATTTGGGCATTTTAATTTATGTTTGCAGCTCAGTTTTCTTTTCTTTTCTTGTTTTTACACATATAAATACATTATTAGTTCTCCATTCCAGAGTAAAATATTATCACATAAACAACATATCTAGAATCAAAATACTGACGAAAATGAAATATTAACCTAACTGTGGATGGGATGAGATAGAAAGGGAGAGATGAGCCCTCCGGATATGGAAGGTAACCTGGGGGAATCTATAAGAGCTGACTACACCGAGACACATCTACCAATCAACCTGCTGTTTTTAAGCATAGCATGGAGGAGTGGGGGTAGAAGAGGGTATAGGGGGATAAATGGTGATGGAAGGATACTTGACTTGGGATAGTGGACACGCAATAATACATTGTACGGATGGTGTGTTGTGGAATTGTGCACCTGAAACCTGTGTAATTTTGTTAACCAGTGTCACCCCAATAAATTTAATAAAAAGTAAAAAAATAAACATACCATTGGGTAGTTCTGTAGACAGCAGAGAATAACTACAGACCACGTCTGACTTATCGGTCCCGTGACGTGCTTCCATCTGTCCAAGATTGGTACAGCTGTGGGAGTTAAGTGCTTCCATTTTATATTCTTATTTTTCAAGAAAAGAAACAAAAGACTCTACTCCACTAGACTGCTAGCTTCTTCAGGAGAGGAACCCATCTTTCTGGACATTTGGATCCCCAGTGCCTATCCACACATCATCCAAGTGGGCAAATGAATGAACAAAAGTAAATACTGCCAGTGTTTTCTAAGAGTATGGCCCAAAAGACAGTAGATTGGTGTCTTCAGTATAGAAGATTCCAATGCTTCCAAATGCTCCAGGGGATAAACTTTAAAAAAAATGTCCTTATTGATTTTAGAGAGAGAGGGAGAGGGAGAGAGAGAGAGAAATGTCGATGAGAGAGAAACATCAATTGGCTGCCTCCTGCATACTCCCTTCTGAGGATCGAGCCTAAAAACTGGGTATATACCTGACCAGGAATCAAACCAGTAACCTCTTGGTACATGGATTGATGCTCAACCACTGAGCCACACTGGCTGGGCACTGATAAACTTTTGATGAATGCTCTTTAAAAGTTGAAAACACAGAAAACCTTGTCAACATAAAACTTGGATAAGTGGATTAGGAAATCAATATTTAATGAGAATTCATATATTGGGAACTGAAAGAATCATTATGTAATGAAAGGACCCAGGCTCCACTATAGATACACTAACATAAGTGTGAAATAGTATATATGAGATGATTCATTCAAAATGATTAATTACTGCACAAGACTGGAAACAACCTAAATGACTATCACTAGGAAACTTATTAACTCAATTACGGCACACCTCTACAATGAAATATTAGGTATCTATAAGAAGCCATGAAGATCTAAGTGAACTAATATGGAATGAGCTTCCTTCAAGATATATTATGTGAGAAAAAAAAACATGGTGTTTACAGTATGCGCACATTTATGTAAACAGGAGGCTTCTTTATGCACATACACACATCTCTGGACAATAAAGCAGTGGTGTTAGGAGAAGTGTGTGTGGGGGGGTGAGGGGCATGAGTGAATGATAACAAGTGTCATCAATCATTTTCAACTACGTAAGGTTAGAAAAGGGAAAAAGGAGGCCGAAACTCTAAGTCAAAGATTGAGCCAAACTGAATCTAGAAAGTAAGGCGTGTCTGTCACACCAGGTTGAAGGCTGATTGGATGGGTTTATTTTGCCCACACTGAACTGACAGGCTTTTCCCATTTTGAATGTGGCTTCAAGAGGAAGCCTCACAAAACTCAAACAGTCTGTGTCCAACCCAAATGAGACCGTGGAGGTTGTTACTTAAAATCAACACACTGCCTGGGCTCCTTCGTTGTCACTTACTTGGTCCAGGGTTTGCATTTTTCTGTGGAAGAAAAGACATCGGAGAAATAGCCTACAAGGCAGGGCTCGCACACCGTGTCTTTGTTGAGCTGCACTGTCAAAAAAACAAAAGGACAAACAGAACAAACAAAAGCCAAACAAGGACACTTAGATATCGGCCAGGATGGTGGTCCCTCTGCCTCTCACCTCCCCACCCCTCCCTGCCCTCGCTGCCTGTGGCTCACTGCTTCAGCCCCCACAGGCTCTGGAGGGCCTTCCATCCCAGCAGTAGGTTCAGGGTTATTAGGTTCAGGAGGGTAATTGGCTCAGTGTCAGGCTACTAATGCCAGTATCTGAGTTAGGTCCTGACCCTTTGCTGTTCAGAACCACTGTCCTGGTCACTAATACTGTTTCCTAGCCGGGGAGTCTACTGTCCACTGCTTTAACCACGCACCTGCCTGATCTCCCCTTTCAGCCTTTTGGACTTACATTAACCTTGATCCACAGAGAGTGGCAGTCCTTTTACTACTTTTAAGGACAACTTCTTGACCTGACCTCTTTGTCCAGCTTAATCTCACCAGTTCAAGCATGGGAGTGACAACAGTTTTCTTAAAAAAAAACAACAAAAAACAAAAAACTCCTACAGGTCTCTTTCTATTAAACCAAGGGCTGGTAACAAACTTTTTCTATAAAAGACCTTATGGTAAATATCTTTTGTAGGCCTTCTAGTCTCTGCTGAAAATACTTGTAGCATGAAAGCAGTCATAGGCAATATGTTAAAAAAAAAAAAAAAGGGGGGGGGGATGTAGGATGTGGCTGTGTTCCAATAAGACTATTTACACAAACACAAGTGGTAGGATGGATTTTGGACCCCTGCCTTAAGCCACAGCACTGAAAGCAGGAATTGATCCTGCTTAGCAAGCTTTCTTCAGCACTCTCATATTCCTTGCAAACCATATTATTAGAATAGGAAATGTCTCAGATTTTCTATGTCTATTCACTGCTGACATGTGTAGACCTTTGGGAATTCCAATCAAGAACACTGACTACCATGTGGGGTATCATGATCACGCAACTGACTTGCACCAAAACCACAAATTACTCTCGAAATTAGTAGCGCTTCTGTGATTGCTTTCATGAATGAAACACTAAAATAAGAAATTACATGTTCTTTTTTCAGTGTCAAGTGGGAAGTATCTTCTTGATTTCTGCAACTGCCTCAATAAGTAGGATACTTCCCCCACTTAATCTATTTTATTTGCCTTAAAATGATATTAACAAAAGCACAGTTAACATCTAGTCAACTCACATAAATTCAAACAGCTTTTAAAAAGATAAACACGCTCTAGAAGAGCAACTCTTAAAAACAAAGCGACTTCTTAAGGGGCTACAAGGCAGCAGAGCTCAAAGTTCATTGATTTCCCTACACTGACTGGGCTTCCAGATCTGTTCCTTGTAACTGACCTGCCAGGGGGCATCCTGCAGGTTCCCTGTCCCTTTCCTTTTCCTAATCACACTGCTCCCACTGTGCAAAAGAAGGCACACTCTTCCCCACTCCAAATCCTGGGATGGTGCCAAACCTCTGAGATGCCAAACGGAGCACCAAGTGGAAATACTGGTGATGGCAGAGCCCCTGCATTCAGAGTCTCTCAGTATTGTCTCTCCCTATCTAAGGACAAAAGTGTGACCATAGAAACAGGGTAACTGGGACCAGGTGGGCTTGTTCTCAATTCAAATACCATGGACCCTTGAACAATGTGGAATTTAGGGGTTTTGACCCTCCTGTGCAGTCAAAAATCTACATATAACTTTTGACTCCCCCAAAACTTAACTATGAACAGCCTACTGTTGACTAGAAGCTTTACTGATAACATAAACAATTTACATGTATTTTGTAGGTTATATGTATTATAAACTGTATTCTTATAATAAGCTAGAGAAAATAAAATGTTCTGAAGAAAGTAAAAATCATAAACACTGTACTGTATTTATCAATACTGTAAGTTTTAAAAATCTGCATATAAGTGGACCTGTGCAGTTCAGACCTGTGTTGTTCAAGGGCCAACTGTACAGTGCAAGGTAGGGAAGGAGGGAAATTTTCATTCACTCATGTCATCCCCTGTGTCCTCCATCTATTGCCAAAGAAGGACCCATTCCCACAGGAGCAAGGCGGAGAGAACATCGGTCAAGAATTAAGCAGAGAAGGGGACAGCACCTTTTTTCATGCAGGTGACAAACTTGCAGAAAGGCTCTGGGCCTTGTCTATCTGAGAATCAGAATTCAGAAGGGAGCCAGCTGTCACAGGGAGACTCATTTTTAAAATTGGAAAATCAAGTCAACTTGGGAATGATCACTTTGTAAGTTATATAAATGTCTGGTCACTGTTGTACACCTGAAACTAATGTAATATTGTATGTCAACTGTAATTGAAAAATAAAAAATTTATTTTTAAAAAAAGCAAGTCAGACTTTTTTAAGAGAAAGCTTGTCTGGTTTACTTGATATATTAGATACTCAGGATTGACTGTACCAGTTAGATTCTCTGACGAACACTTTCCTCATTATAAATTGAAATGAATAATAATTTAATTCTCTTAACCCTGTCCAAGTATTCTGGGTTTAAAAAAAAAATGCCTCCAAGGGAAAGATTAACAGGTATAAATACTAGTAAGTTGTTACGTCTTAAAGAAACTGCTTTGGTATACTTCCTAGAAGTCAGGATGTAAGTGACGCTAAGAAACACTTTTTTGAGTCAAAAAGATTATTTCTACTTATTTACTTTCAACAAAACTGAAGGACACAGTTGAGTTCTTAACTGAGCAATCGTTAAACACCACGTTGATGTCACGTCACTGTGTGATCTAGGACATGTCACTCAGAAAGTGCTGATAGAATTGAGGACACTCCTGTCATGGGAGTCCTTTCTTAGCTGTTTAGCTATTTATGCGAACAAGTTTCTCAGCACTTAGTGGAAACAGGATTGAGCTTGAATTCTGTTGCATTTTAGCAATAAGTTGTATTCAGCCCAGAAGATATGAACTAATTGGAAAAAAACTCCATTTGTTCTTTAGTTTGTAAAGACTTTAATATAGCAAAATATAATATATTCACCCTTGACCTATTGTGTAATATCTGCAGTAACAATTTGGTCCAGAATAAGTGTTTTTAACCCCTAGAACCTGGAGTCACAAGAAATTTTTTCAAATTTAAGATTTCAAATAGGTGCATAATTTTGGATATGAAAGAATATGAAAGGTGATTAGCAAAAACCCTCCAAGCACAAAAATACATCAGGATAGAATTCTGCAGGGAAGGTGAAATGAATACAAATCAAAGGAGGGGGGAATAACTGTATCTTCCCCACAGGTGAGGCAATGAGCGCATTTTAAAATAGATTACGGTGTTGATACTCCATTGAAAAATTTAGGAAGTGTTACTATTGCTATCTTTCCCTGGAAACTGAATCCTTAGCAACTCTTTAAATTCGTAATAAAAATTTTGAGCTGTCAAGTTAAAAATATGCTACAGGGTGCATGATTTTTTCAAAATTCTGCTAAGCGGATGCACAAATTTGTTCTTTTTAAACAGTTGGAGGTCCCCTGCATTCTCGGGTTCCGTCCTAAGTGGGGAGCATAAAGCTCCGCAGATGGAGGAGCCTGGAGACCAGCATGTGGGCCAGGCGCTCACGTGTCCTTGTTAGAACCAAACCTGGGGCTCCGTTCTCAGGGGACCCTCAAGCTCCTCCAGCGCCACCTGGCTCCCCGGAGTGTGAATGACGCAGGGAAGCCGCCTCAGCACCGGCTTTGGCCTCCAGGTGACTGCAAGACGGTGAGAGCGGATGACCCGTACCCGGGTGCCGGGCGCCCAAGCCGGGCGCGCACTCGGCGTTGCGGCGGCAGCAGTCACAGTCCTCGCTCCAGTGGTAGCCCGCCATGCAGGCGCAGCGTCGCGGGGCTGTCCGGTTGCCGGGCTCCACCGCCACCAGGGCCTTGCCTGCGGGCGAGAAAGACAGGGCGGCGAGGCGGTTCGAGGATGCATGGGTGGGGGTGCACCCCATGCCAGCCCCCACCCCACCCAATTCCCCCAATGCAGTGCCCGGCCTCCTCCCAGACATTGACACATTCAGGTCGCTGGCTCTCAGGAGCACTGGAGTCCCCTCAGCTTCCTGTGCTGGCACTGAAACATCCCAGGGGGGTTTCACTCTCAATAATTAAGAGTCCAAGGGCTTTTGAAAAGTCAATTTTCATGTTAGTAGGAAGATTAAGGGCTGGAAGTTTATGATCACTGATTACTAATGCAAAATAGACTTCATAATCTCCCGATTTTTAGTAAATTCAAATGTGATAAATAGCCTTAACACCAATGCCAGATAGGACCTAAAAGAATGGAGTTCCTGGAGATCAGGGGTTCCTCCTGAGATCCTGCAGGGCCACCATTATTCAGAGCCCGGAGACTGGGGTCACTGTGTGATTAGCTAAGTGGAGGAGTGGAGAGGTGGGACGTGAAGACATACTTGGAAATTCGTCTCTCCCACAATAATACGTTTGTCTTTCCTCACACCTCACTGCAGAGTGCCCTCCTGTTACCCCAATCTCCTGGGCCTGTCCAGTCTTTGTGTGAGAGAGGTGACTGCTCACACACAGTTGGTCCTCATTAGCCACTGGTTCAGGTCTGCAGTTTCACCTTCTGGCTAAAATGTCATCGTAGCCCCCCAATCAGCACTCCCGGCACTTTCGCAGAGTGGGGGGAAATTTCAGCCCCTGGGGACCTGCCAGGTGAGGGTGAATAAGGTAACACATTCTGCCTTAATGTTTCAGCTCTCATCCTGGAAACGTGTTCTTTTAGTGGTCTTTTTAGAGTCCTATTTTTTTAGCCTTTTTGTGTTTTTTGTTGGTAATGTCACTGTTTTTTTGTTTTGTTTTTTAAATATATTTTATTGATTTTTTACAGAGAGGAAGGGAGAGGGATAGAGAGTTAGAAACATCGATGAGAGAGAAACATCAATCAGCCCCCTCCTGCACACTCCCCACTGGGGATGTGCCAGCAACCAAGGTACATGCCCTTGACTGGAATCGAACCTGCGACCCTTGAGTCCGCAGGCCGACGCTCTATCCACTGAGCCAAACCGGTTAGGGCTGATGTCACTGTTCAAAATGGCCTCCAAATGCAGTGCTTAGGCACTGTCTAGTGCTTCTGAGCCCAAGGAGGCTGCGATGTGTCTTATGGAGAAAATGTGTGTTAGAAAAACTTGGTTCAGGAATGAGTTACAGCACTCTTGGTTGTGAGTCTAATGTTAATGAGTCAAAGTATTTATTACATAAAGTGTTCTTAAACACAAACACACATAAAACAAGGTTATATGTTGACCAGTTGACAAAAACGCTGTGACCAGAGGCTCACGGGAACCTGTATTTCTCCTGGGAAAAGCAGTTCAGTATTTGCTAGTTCAGTGTTTGTGGTGATTGTATAGAACATAATTGCGCCGAGCGGTGAGAATCAAAAACATTACACAGCACAACATTACTTAAAACAGCCCTTCTACCCTGTGGGACACATCTCATCCAGATTGTCCAAACAGCCCTTGTACTGAATAGTCCTGAATACTTCTCGGAGTTTGTTATGGACTGATGTTTGTGTCCCCTCAAAATTCCTATATTGAGCTCTTAACCCTTGATGATGGTATTAGGAGGTGGGGCCTTCGGAAGGTGATTAGGTCATGAGGGTGGAGCCCTCAAGAATGGGATTGGTGCCCTCAGTAAGAAAGACAACAGAGAGCTTGCTTCCTCTCTCTGCTTTCAGCCATACGCTGCTATCTTGAAACCAGGAAGAGGACCCTCACCAAGAACCCAGCCATACTGGCACCCTGATCCCAGGCTTCCAGGTCCAGAACTGGAAGATGTAAATTTTTGTTGTTTAAGCCACTCAGTCTGTGGATTTCTGCTATAACAGCCTGAACTAACTAGAACAGAGTTCCATGGGAAAAAGAAACAGCCTTAACTAAGTGGCAGCCAGAAACAGGGGGAGGGGAGGGACACATTTCTTATCCCCATTCCTGGGCCCAACCATGGAGAACCTGGAGAAATCTCCATTGCCTCCAGACCCACTCTCTGAGGTCCAGGCCAGCTCAGTGGCACCAAGGCCAGTGTGTATAAATATGCACATGATGCCTGGAACACACACAGACACTGTCGCGTCCTTGAAAATTCTAATTCCAGTATCGCACTCAAATGCAAGTGAATGTAAGCCTGGCATATCCTTGAATATCTTAATGAACCAGGCTTTGCACTTTAATCAATTTTGGCAGTAGACAGAATGATTCTTTATTTCCAAGAGACAGCAATGAGTCAAGGTCATTACTAAGTCGTGGGAAAGAAAAGAGACTTGATCAGATGCTTCTGCTCAGTGGAGTTTCCATGTTATCTTCTCCAAACAAAACCTGCCAGCTGTCTTTAACCATTAGGAAAATTATGGTTTAAAAAATATTTATTTCCTGGTTCTTTCCACTGGGAAAGAGAAAAACCTACACATAAGAGTCAATCCAGCCGAAACCGGTTTGGCTCAGTGGATAGAGCGTCGGCCTGCGGACTGAAGGGTCCCGGGTTCGGTTCCGGTCAAGGGCATGTACCTGGGTTGCGGGCACATCCCCAGTGGGAGGTGTGCAGGAGGCAGCTGATCGATGTTTCTCTCCCATCGATGTTTCTAACTCTCTATCTCTCTCCCCCTTCCTCTCTGTAAAAAATCAATAAAATATATTTAAAAAAAAAAAAAAAAAAAAGAGTCAATCCAGAACCAATGAGCCTCCATAGCACCCAGGTCAAGATCTCTAAATAAGATGTTCTGCAGAAAGTGATCAGGAATTCCTGGAGAAATGGCTGGTTCCAAGTGCAGGGCAGGAAATATCCAATGTGAGCCAGGAAGCAAGGGAGCTCTTCAAGACACCTGGGTTTGCCCTAGCTGGTTTGGCTCAGTGGATGGAGCGTCAGCCTTCGAACTGAAAGGTCCCAGGTTCGATTCTGGTCAAGGGCACATACCCAGGTTGTGGGCTCAATCCCCAGTGGGGGACTTGCAGGAGACAGCTGATCCATGATTCTCTCTTATCATGGATGTTTCTATCTCTCTCTCCCTCTTCCTTCCTCTCTGAAATCAATAAAAAAATAAAAAAAGACACCTGGGGTTGTACCAAAGGTGGGGCCACCTGGAGGTGGGGCGATCTGAGCACCAGGAAAACTAATAACTGCAGTAGACCGAAACACCTCGAAGATGCCTAAATTCATGAGTTCATAATATTCATACAAGTCCTTGGAGAAAGCTGGATGGTCGGGTCACTGTTTTGAAAAGTGGTAAACAAAGCTGCAGCATTCATTCCACCTTTCCTGTGCATAGTGTATGTACTTCAGGGTAATGAATCACCGATGGGGGGAATTTCCCTTTACAAAGCATCCCAGCTAAGAAATGAAGGAGTGATAGAACTGGATCATTGCCTAATGAAAATGGATCTAGGTCATGATTGTCAATAGCTTCTAATATCACATACAGAGAGAAAAGCCGCTGTTACATGGTTCCTGACATAACTACATTTTACCAACTACGAAGGAGTTTTGCCAAAAACAAAAAAACAAATCAGAATCTGAGCAGCCTTCTAGATCTCACAACCGCTTTACAAGAAATGTAGGAGATGGAAGAATAGGCTAAACAGCACCAAGGGGGTGCAACCAGCAGCAACCAGGCTGTGGGAACCACAGGACCGACAACAGGTTTCTCCCAGATAAACTGAATGGGAAAGGAAAAAGGAAGAAGGAAAGGAACCTGTAGGCTGAGACTTAAGAGGCATATTTTGATCCCGATTCCTGAAAATAAACTATAATTTTAAAAAATTTGAGGCAAAAAAACCACAGCAGACTGATAAAGAGATCAAACTGTCGAGTTAATAGGACATTTATCGTTTAGGAAAAGGACTCGAGAGTCCGACAACCTGACTGGGAGTCCTGCTTTGCACTGGATAACCCTGAAGTCATTTAACCTCTATCCATCTCAGTTTTCTTTATCTTTAAAATGGGATCATCGTGGTTATCTCACAGGGGTTTTTGTGAGGATTAAATAACACAACACACAAGAAACATTGGGGAAATATTTTGTCAACTCTAAGATGTGTTCCATGATTAAACTGCAACACAAACATAGTCCAGAACAAAAGTTCTCAGAGAAGAATTTTAACAAGGCGCTGCGGGGAGCTGAAGCCCATCCTGCTGTGGTCAGAACTCCTCCCTCTGTCCCCCAAAGACAGCACCGCTGAACCTGAAAATATCATTATCCCCACTTCCCGCTGGCGTGACTGACTCACCTGTATCGCAAACTTTATGCAGCAAGCACTTGTCTTCTTCATTCCAGCTGTCCAGGTATTCATCCCTGCCGCAGGGCAGACACACACTTTCCGAGGTAGTAGTGCACTTGGCAGACATGTACGTCCCTTAAATTAGAAGGGGGAAAACGCACTAATCAAAAATATCCCCCCCAAAACACACACAAAAATGCACCAATTTACTGGACCCTTTACATGACCAGGGTCCCAGGAAGTCCCCAAGAGACAGCGCGATACAAGAGACAGAGCCACATCTCCCAGTGATGCTCCGAAGGCTCCCAGCTGGCTGAAATAGCCTCTCTGGGCTGCTGGTCCTGTGGTCACAGGGGTCTTTTAGTTCTTCCATGGGAAAGATCACCCTTTCCACGCCAAACCTCGGCTGAGTAAGGTAAAGAACAAGGGTTTTCAAACGGGGGCCTGTAGAACTTGAGGGATTCCCTGGGGGCTAAGCATGAGGGGTTTCATTTCATCCCTCCCCTCCTGTCTTCAGAATGTCCCCTACTGTCAATCTGGAGACACACACACACACACACACACACACACACACACACACCACACATGCTGGATCTTCGTTCTGCATATCCAAGAAATATTTGTAGCCAAAATATCTACACAAGCATATCAAACTCGTGGACAGGCCCCGGCCATGAGTTTGACATGCTTGAGGGTCTTGTTAACCACCTTTCCTCAAAGATGCGCTCTCCTCCCCAGAGCAATGAGTGAATGAGGACCCTGTGGACTTGGGAGTTCATTGGGGCTATAGAAATGTGTGGCCGCATTTGTCACCAGCCCACCTTCTGCTCCTCAGCAGGTATATGTGTGGGGAGAAGGTATAACAGGGTTTAGGCAATTTCAGCAGCAACAATTCCAGTATGGCTCCCCCTACCCCCAATTTTTTAATGTGATAGTATTTTTCAATAAGAGGTGAATTTCTTATTTTGAGAGTTTGAATCACAAAGTGCTAAAACATGCTTTTAGAGGCCTTCTTTTTTCTCAAGAAATAGTGTTTTGGAAAATAGCATTCCAGCATGAATGAAGTACCAGCTTATGAAATTGCTTTTCATTTTTAAGTGATTTTATCTTCTGAAAGAAAGGTTTTTGTCTTCAGAGTGACAGACATTACCACCTGCCATTACCATAAAAAGTCCATCCAATTTCTTTTTTCATCTGGCAGATAGAAATCATTCCTTAGATTAAAAAAAAAAAAGCCCTTTTACTCCTGAGGGGGGGATGAAAGGTGGCTCAGAAGTACAGACCTGGCTCACATTTGTTACAGCACCGTCCAAAATGCTCATAGTGCCTCTCGCTGGCACACGGAGGGGTGATCTGAAAAGTCACCTGAAAGAAAATGACACCAGGCAGAGGTTATGCACAAGTTCTTTCTGAATAAAGCAAACAAACAAACAAACAAAAGGAATCATCAAATTACATGTTGGAAAAGCATAAGAAACACCATAAGCCGTCCTGAGACTGCTCTGTGTAATATTATTAACACCTCCCTCCCCCAAACAGTCACTTCCTATTCCAGCCCATTTCCCCCTAAGAATATATACAACAAACAGATCCTGGTATGCAAACTCACTTAAACATGTACAAATATTTTGGTTATGCTCATGGCAATATGAGAAATTAAAGGAAAACTGACAAACTGGCTGCAGAAGTCTGAAAACTGCTGTAGACAAGCCACATAGGAAACTGGCCCCTTGTCTGTGGGTCACATGATGGATGACATGCTCAGTCAACTTTGATCATACACTGCAGGAGGACACAAGGAGGCTCCTTAGCAGGTACAGGGGGGCAGAGGCAGGCTTACAGTTGTTCGCATGGGAAATAATAAAACAATTAATTAATAATACGAGATAAACTGTTTCATGGGCTCACAATGTAAACCTACTCTTGCCCACCCTTGTATATTACACCAGGGGATCTCAAATTTGGTCTGATAAGCTACCTCTGATTTCTAAAAGGTGTTTAACCCTGCGTACCTTTCAAAATGTTAAACATGCAGAGAATATTAAAAAGTGGGACACCAAGCTGTGACAGGAGCTCCGTGGGCTGGGAGCGAGGAGGCCTGCCCGCCTGCTGGCTGAGGGACCCCGGTGAACTGCTTTTTGGGTCTCTGCTTCCTTTCCGTTGGATTCTAGTACAAAGCTTAATTTCCAAATCTGCCCGTGTAAGTACAACAAACCAAAAAGCCGAGTCCCTTACGTTCACTCAGAGATCCTTATCAGTGCGCCGCAGAAAAGCTCTTTTCAGCTTACTTGGTGTCAGATAAAAAGCACGCGCTGACAGGCAGTCATGTGGAAATTAACAGTGAAACTGAACAGCTGAAGAGACACCAAAGGGTGCCATACCAGGGTCAAGTTCCCCTCGGGGGGCCCAGGGATCCAAAGTTGCACACCTTGCCCTCCCGGAGCTTACACCCTGGGTGTGCTATGATGGAAGCCAATGGGCCCTACGTCCCTGAAGACTGGGGCTGGTGTCCTAAGGCACATGACAAGTGAGCTCAGTCTTGCAGGATAAAGAATAGTCGGCCAGATGGGGAAAAGGAAGTGGCAGGTGGCGGTTGGGACGGAGGTAAGGGAGACTTAAGAGATTATGAATAGTTCAAACAGAGGCGCTGAGGTCTGAAACGGCATATGGGGTGGGGTGGGGTGGGGAACATCAGCAGAGTGGGGGGAGGGGGATGAGCACAATGACACAGGGAACTTCCTCTGCACGTGGATGGAAGGGATAGAAATAACATAGTTTAGGAGCCACGCATCCTCAAAATACCTCCGTTATGGAAGGAACTTCCATAGAGAGAGCAGCAGAAAACCCCAGGCCGGCTGGGTGAGCGGGTGGGGCACCTCTCTGACCTCACGCTGGCCCTGCAAAGGGCTTACAGGAGGGACGGGTCCAGGATGGTTACTTTGAGGTCGATGAGAAAGTCAAACGTGTTCCTAGAGCCATGTGTGCCAAAAAGCTTGTATCCAGACTTGCTGCCTGGGCCTGGCTAAGACGCCTGTGGACACTGGGTAACATGAACTGGATGCTCCCCGCGTATTCACCACATGACAGGGGCTCAAGGACCGCACCAGGAGCCCAGTGGGAACTAGGAAAATAACAAACCAGAAATCACAGCACCACTCCTTTCTGGTTTCTTTTTCTCTTTGCCTTTTTGGGACCTGTTTCTCTGTAGGCTGCCGTGCCCCTTCTGCGTCGAGCACAGTCAGGCATGCACACGGGAGGGCGATGAGCAGAGGCACGGTGGTAGCGGGGAAGGAGGTCGGCACACATTTGTCAGCTAGGATGCATGTGAACCCTGCGGCAACGATGATGACAGAGGCAAACGAGATAGTGATGTGGTCGGGCTCTGTTTCAGACGAGAAAGGTTATCAGTGGTGTCTGACCCACAAGAGAGCTGCAACAGCCTCTGTAAGATAAGAGCACACTCTGTGTAACATATACAGAAAGGTTCTTTTTAGGGGAATTTGGTACAGGGCTACCCCTGAAGCAGCTGCTGAGGAACACAGGGGCTAGCCATGTCCTGGGCTCCCGATCCTGGTTCCTGCTGAGCACGTGGACAATCTCGTTACATGCCTAGGAGTGTGGCTGTGATTCACTCAAACCTCCCCGCCCCCCTCCACCATCTAACCCAGGCTTTCACCTCCCGGCAAAATGGGGAAGTCGCTGATTCCAGAGGTGACCAGAGGTCCTAGTTCCTAACCAGCATTTCACAGATTACTCCTTAGAATTAATTTCTGTCTCCTAAGCTTACTGTGGCTTTACCTAGACACGTCTTCTGTTTCTAAATTTGAGATGTAATTCATATACCATAAAACTCAGTCTGTAAAAGGTACAGCTTGCCCTCGCCAGTTTGGCTCAGTGGATAGAACATCAGCCCACGGACTGAAGGGTCCTCAGGTTCAATTCCCGTCAAGGGCACATGCTCTATTCCCCACTCTGATTGAGGCCTGTGCAGGAGATAACCAATTGATGTGTCTCTCTCACATCGATGTGTGTGTCTCTGTGTCTCCCTCCCTTCCACTCTCTCTAGAAATCAATGCAAAAAAATATCCTTGAGTGAGAATTAACAACAAAAAAGGGGGCACAGCTCAGCAGCAGTCGTGCAATGGCTGCTATTGAATTCCAGAGCGTTTTCCTTACCCCCAAACTGACAGGTCTGCTTGACAGACCTATAGGATTACAGGTCTTTTAAGGAGCTCCTTTTTTTAAGGAGCAGCAGCAATTTTGCTCCTGGGAAAATCAGCTGTGGGAGGCAGAAAATCACGCTGTAACCTAATCTAAGGTGCAGCTGCAATAGAACCTGACTTTGTTCTCCAGGGACATTCTATACTTTGCAGTACACCTTCAGCTTTCAAAATGGCAATAAATATACCACTTAGAAAACAACCGTCATACATGGATATATTTGACTGGGAGTACGACTTGGGGATAAAGAGAATTCGGGAAATCCTCTGAAGGTGCCTGCACATTCAGGAGGCTGTGCCCTCGTGGTCCTCTCTCCTACTTGGTCCTGACTATCTGCTTCCAGCATTCTGTCCCCCCATGGCAGAGCCCAGCTCTAGAGGAACCCTCTGTTAGAGGAGGAGCAGCTCCCCAGGCCTCGCCCAGCATGCAAAGCCCTTCCGTTACTGGGCTCACCAAGATCCTGTGCAGAACCTCCTGGGACAGGCTCTCCACTTTGCTGTTTGTAACGACCAGGAAATCCAGGTCAGACCCCCTGGCCTGTCTTGCTTTTGAGGGTCCCCCAGGGACTTGTCTCTCAATGCTGTAGCCCAGACAGGCTCCGCTGCCTGACTCCCAGACTCCAAGTCCCTTAGTCCCACCTGCTTGGCTCGGCTCCCTGTTAGCCTGTGTTGGGTCTCATTCATGCCAGTCTCCCTGGCAGGCCTGCCGCATGTATCCCCCAAAAGGCATTTTTGTATGTGAATGAATGAATGCTCTTCAGCCCCTCCCAGTCTGGCCCCTTGTTCTCCCTAAGGAATTCTAGCTCAGTATCTACCATCTCACCAGCAGCTGGGGAGAGCCCCCAGGCTGCCCAAGTCCCTGCTGGGCCTCGGGCCCTTCCCTTCCAATGGCTCAGAATTTGGACCCGGCTCCATCCTCCAAGACCAAGCTCCCAGTGGTTGTGAGGCGCTGGCTCCAGTAACTGACAGCAATCCCAGCAAGGCAGTCATGGATAAAAGCATGCTCCTGCCTGAGTGGCAGGGAAGTAACCTCCGGGGGAACAGAGGGGTTCAGCACAGGTCTGCAGCTGCCCGGGAAATGGTGGGATCCTGTCAGCCACCTACCCGCTCCTGCAGCAACAGAAGGCATTTGGTAACTGAGTTGAGACGTCCAGCTTTTAGTTATCTAGGTTTTTTTCCAGTTCACCTTTAAGAGTGAATTGTTTCCTTCTAAAGCAATAGAGCTTTTGAACCATAGTTGTTTTCATTAAGCAAATAAAGCAGAACCACTTTAGAATGTTTTATTTGCTGAAGAAAGGATACAGTCAGTCACATGATGCACAATGTAAAAGCTCCCACAGGCTCTGGGGGAGTCTCCCTCCCCGGCAGCCCTCCCCACAGGTAACCAGTGTCACCATTGCTTGGGCCTCTTCCTGCAGGTAGAAAGAAGACGTGATCGGGGACCCATTGGGGGAACTGTTGTGTATCGCAGCGGCCTTGGAGGCCAGCGGGGTCAGGTCTGTTTGCAGCGCTTGTGTCTGGGAATATCATGTGATTTATGATACTTAGAAGTCTTCTAAAAAAAAAGCCATGGGTTGACAGGGTCTGAATGCAGTTCTGAATCAATAAACTACAAAAATGTTTGGGGGCACACAGGCTGGTGTTTACATCCAGTAACCCTTGTTTTCTAACAGACCCACCCTGAGTTAATAAGAAACACTAGAACCTGTATAGCAAATACCATTTACACCCCTTTCCATAGGAATTCCTCGGAAAGTCATTTTTTTTTTTTTAGAGGAAGGTGTTAGAGCGCCAAGACAATACATTTAATCTATTGGCCTCCTGTTGTCTCACTTTTCTGTGGGTTTGTGCTTTATGTCTACTTGTTTGGGGGCACACAGGCAGGTGTTTATTTTAGAGCTGACAAATATGGAAGAAGCATGTCCACAGTCTGTGCAAGACTTTGGGAAGCAGGAGGAAGCTCATAGATCGTCAATCAAAATTCTCTTCACAGCCTGGCTGGCGTGGCTCAGTGGTTGGGCGTCGACCTAGGAACCAGGAGGTCCCAGTTTGATTCCCGGTCAGGGCACATGCCTGGGTTGCGGGCTTAATCCCCAGTAGGGGGCGTGCAGGAGGCAGCTGATCAATGATTCTCTCTGATCATTGATGTTTCTATCTCTCCCTCTCCCTTCCTCTCTAAAATCAATAAAAATACACTTTAAAAATTCTCTTCATAAAGAGACATGGATTTATTTCCTGATGCAGAGCCAAGGGCGGGGGGGGGGGGGGGGCGGGATCCTCATTTTGAAAAGCCCTGCACAGAAGGAGCCTGGCACGGAGCTACAGAGAATCGGGGTCTGTTTTTAGGATCCTGCAGGGCAGGTGGACTGAAATATTTCTTTTTCCTGCTGCCCATCCATCTGATGGCGGTGAAAGTCATCATGGAGATAAAGTTGCTTTTCTGCTCTATTGAAAATCCTCACTGACACGTACAAAGCAGAAAGAGGCGTGGCCCCTTCGGTCAAATTAGCGGAAATGAAGCCAACCTGGGAGAGCAAATGTGGGATTTTCCATAGATTTCATTTTGTAAAATATCATCCGTGACTGCAGTTGAGAATTGGGCTATAATGTAAGCAAAGATGGTATCAAATTTCTGAA